GATCGGTGTGACCCCTCAGTGGTGCTTTCTCCTTCCCTTCTCTGTCTGGGGCAGGTGTACTTGCCCTCTGGTTTATGAACAAAACACAGAAAAGCAGTCACTGAGCCTGTGGCCTTTTGTGTCTGGCTTCTTCCACTGAGCATGATGTTGTTAAGGTTCAGCCATGTTGTCTGCTGTATCAGAACCTCACTCCTTTTGTTTAAATGATTTATTATTTTTTCTTGTCCAGTGCTATTCCATTGCACAGCTGCGTCTCCATTTGTTGATGTTTTTACACATCGAAGAGATCCTTCCCAGTGCCCTGGCCAGGCCAAGAAAGGCGGTAACACAGAGTGGGGTCAGGTCCCTGCTCTGCAGCTCAGGGGCCCAGGCCTGAGCCGGCTACACTCTGCCTGGCATCTGGCTGCAGAGTGAAGTCCAACAGCAGAGGCCTGGGGGGGAGGAGGGAGGGGGCGGGGGCGGGGCCTCACACCTCCATTGGTTTCCCCCCACCTTTTCACACCTACATCCCCATTTCTCCCTTCCCTCCCAGGACCCTAACTGGAGCTGAGCAGAAAGTCTTCTCCAGCCGGAGTTTAGGAAATCTATTTGCATGGCAAAGGCCCTGCGGTTTAGGATGGGGAATTAAAGTTATTAGCAAGTCTTTTCACAGGTAAGTGGAGCTCATTGCTCCCCCCCTCCTGTCCTCTTGCTCGGAGCCGGGAGGGGGGGCCGCCCATTGTTCATTAGCACCTGGCTGTGAATTTTCATTAACACGTCCCTGCTAATAGCAGCCGAGACAGAAGACTGGAGATAGGAAGGGCCGCCTCCCGCTGCTGCTGCACCGCCTTCCAGCTCCATCCTGAGACACTGCATGTCCTTCAGTGATGGTGACAGCAACCAGCCACCAGGTAAGACACCTGTGGGGGTGTTAGGGGAGCCTCTCCCCCCTCTGTTCTGGCCAGCCTGGGAGGTAACCCAGATACGGAGCCATTTTAAGGACGGGAAAGTCAGATGAGGAAGAGGCTAACTAGTGTGCCTGTGCGGATGCTAAGGGGCAGCTTTGGTTAAGGAGCCTGTGTGCGGACGCCTGGTCTATGTCTTTGCGACAGCCCGACGCCAGGTTTGGGAGCAGGCCGCCAGGGGGAGCCTCACCTCGCCGGAGGCCCTGGCAGGGTGCACTGGTCCAAGGGAGTCTGGGCCCAGGCCGGCTGGAGGCAGCAGTGAGAATGATAGCCTCAGACAGGGTGCCCAGCCTGCACTCTGGCTGCCAGCTGCCTCCTTCTGGCAGGATGCCCTTCCCTGGGTAGAACCAGAGGTAGAGAGGCAGACGTGGAGACAGCAGCTACCAGGGCCAGGCTGTGTGCTTGTCACCACCTGGTTTCAGGCCCACTGGCGAGCTGGGCAGGTGTTGCACATACCCTTTTGTACAGATCAGGAAACTGAAGCACAGAGAGGTCAAGGAATTTCTCACATAACTAGTACATGGCTGTTGCAGGAGGGGAGGGGGGTTGAGGGGGCAGCTGTGGATGGGTGACAGACAAGCCCCATCTTTGGAATGGCCCTGGTAGGCAAGTGTGTGCATGTGCGTGGTATGTAAAATAAAGCTCCTGGAGCATATTCCCAGCAGCACCCTGCTTCCATCCCCCACCTCGCTCAGGCTGAGGCAGCTGTACCCTGCAGATGCAGGTGCTGAAGAGAGGTGCTTAGCTGCCGGCTGTACTTCAGAGAGTTCCTGAACAAATGGGATTAAAATTAAAGCACCGGGATGGAGGCCAGCAGGTGGTGTAGTGGTTAAGGCACTGGATTCCCATATTTGCCGTTGGAGTTGGACCTGGCGACTTGAAACTCATGCTAGGCGCATGTGCACGCATGCCCAAAATCCAAGAGGAGAATGGAGGAGAAGGGATTGCAGCATGACCATCCCCCTTGAGGAGAGATTTCTCACTTTCTGTCTATCTGTCCAGCGAGGGCATGCACCCTATAGCAAAAATCTCTTTAAAAAGCATCAGAGTGATTTATCACTTTCTCTCCAGCAACCACATATGCCGTATGGCAAAAATCGAAAATAAATAAAAGTATGAGTTTATTTCAGTGCAAAACAAATTGAAATCCAAGCATGTTTTTTTCCTAGTGTGCATTCGCCACAAACTTTTTGAAATTATGGAGTATACTCAAACCCTGTAGACAAGGTAACAACCTGAACCCAGGGCATAGAGAAAGAGGGGTGGTGGTCAACATTTGTGCTAGTGGGGAGGGGGGTGTAGGGGGTGGCAGAAGACCCAGAGTGGAGCAGGCTGGAAGCTTGGCCTGGGGTTTGGGTGGGATGGCTGGTCTCTTGGAGTGGGGCCAAGCTCTGACTATGTGTTGCTAATAAACAAGTCCAGTGGCCAGCAGGGGGGAAAGTGGTTAAGGCAATGGACTCCCGTGTAGCTGAAGGTGGTTCAAGTCCCAGACCTGACAGCTTGAAATTCACACTGGGTGCATCTGCATGTGTGTCCAAAATCCTGAGACGAAAATGGAGAAGGGATTGTGCCATGGCCATCTCCCCTAGGGAATGATTTCTCACTTTCTGTCTATCTCTCTCTCTTTCTCTGGTGAGTGTAAGTGTCCTATTGCAAAAATGTCTCTCAAAAATAAATTTAGGCTGGCAGGTGGCATGGTGGTTAAGGCGCTGGACTCCCACATAGCTGACTGCAGTTCAAGTCCCAGACCTGGCACCTTGCTTTCTCTCTCTCTCTCTTTGGTCAAATTAAAAAGTAATAATAAGTAAACTCAATAAAATAATTCATTTAAAAGTATATATAAACAAGTCCATCTTGTTTCCTTAATTGCCAGAGTGCACCTGCATGCCCCAGGGTTCCAAAATGCTCCTCCCTGGAGGGCTGGGGTGGCAGGGGGCTGGGGAGGGGAGGAAGCTAACTTTGAAGGTCCTGTTCATCCCAGGGCAGAGACCCTGCACAGACACCACCAAATGCCCCCTTAACATTTGGCTCCTGGGCCCTCCTTTGCCTCACTCAGGTCCCAGCACTGGCTCGACAAGTCCTACTGTGCTGATGTAGCTGAGGGGCTGTATACCCAGTGGGCACGGATCTCTCTGGAGGCTGCTGGCATGTCCTGCTGAGCCCAGTGGCACATCCGGCTGGAGGATCCTAGCTGGAGAGCCCCAGCCCATCCCAGGATAGCCCGGACTTTGTCAGGCCTTGCGTCCTTATCTTAGGGGCGGTGGAATGTCTGGCCTCTTTCCCCTTGCTCTCTCCCCACAGTAGGAGCTGAGGTGACCTGGTGCTGCTGGCAGCTCCCAACTTTGGAGAGGGTGGAGCTGGCTCCCCAGCCCAGTTCTGCCCTGCATGGCACCTCTGCGCTCTTGGCCCACTCAGCACCCCTACTTTCTTCCCTTGTGGCCATTTTCCCGTCCTCAGGCAGCTCTCCCCTATCAGTCTCTACTAGGAGGTCAGACCTCCACTCTCCTCCAGGGCTGGACACCTGCACTGTCACCACGGTGAGTGGTTCAGGACTGAGACCACATGCAGGCCAGGAGAAGCAGGCTCAGCAGGTCTGGGGCCACTGGTAAGGGGACATTCACTGTGGGTGCTGCTGGCAGTCACCCAAGCCTGGAAGGGGAATCCCAGCTGAGGAGCTGAAGAGAGATTCCTGACGCCATTTCACACCTTGGTCTGGCTGCACTCAGGGGGCGCTCCTGGCTGTTTACGTGGCCCAAGCCACACGTGCCCCACTTTTTAAAGTTTTTTTTTCCCCAGTGGGGTGTATGCACTCACCGGAGAGAGGGATAGTGAGAAAGTACCCCCAGGGAGGGTGGCCGCCCAGCAGTCCCTTCTTCATTCCCCTCTGCTCACACGCCTGGTGTGTTTTGCAAACATCTGGGTCTGGGACTCAAACTGGGCAGTCAACCACATGGGATCCAGCTGCCTGAACCACCATGCCACCTGCTGGCCCATGAATTCCCCTTTATGAAGTTGGAGTTGGGTATCTGGCACTGATTGTTGGAAAGGATCCATCAGGACCTGGTACAAACCAGTCTGAGCTATGTAATCTGAGCCTCAGTCTCCCTCTCTGTAAAATGGGGCTAATGATAAATACCTAAGTTTTGCAAGGCTACTTAAGGCTTAAATGTAAAATACACAAAACATAGTAGACTCCCATGACTCTCGGTTCAGGTGGGATGTAAGGCCAAGACCATCTTCCCACGTTCTCTCCCCTCATCTCAGATACAGCTGCCACAGCGCCTGCTGCCCTGCTGGGTAGCACCCCACCTGGGGGGTGATCGTAAAGAGCTGCTTTGCTGCCATTTTCATGCCTGTGGTGGGAAGGGGAGGGTGTGGAGTGTCTGGGGAGGGGACCCTCCACCCAGGGAATGTTCAGCCACTCAGTATCCACACCATAAGGAGAGGTTGTACCAATGGGGCTTGTGATATGTGTCCTGGGGGAAGTGGTGAACGGGCCAGTAGAGAAGTAGAGTCCAGTCTGCTTCAGGTATTTACTCTCATCCCAGAGACTGGGATATGGGAACAGCCTGCAGTTCTCAGAGGAACCACCTGGTGTCCTCAGAGAGGTAGCATGTCCCCTGAGCTGCCAGGGTCCCTCCATCTGGTTTGTCTGGGAGGGCCAGAAGGAAAGGAGTAGGCACCTCTTCTTTCTCTGCCCCAGAAGGGTTCCTGGACCAGCAGGCAAGGGGCAGCGCCCAGCTCCTGCCTTACAAACCCGTGTGGCCTGGGGCTGTCATTCTGCCTCAGCTCTTCCAAGTGGTTCTAGAAGATTCTCTAAAGTGAATTGTCTAAAGCAATTTTCAAAGCGATTCTCAGCACACAGAGAGAGGAGGGTGTAGAAAGAAGCGGGGGCTGTAGGGTGTGCAGCATCTGGCAGGTGGGGCATCTCACTCCTTCGAGGACATTGGCTCTCTAGGCCTAGGAGACAAGTGTTCCTCACCAGGCCTGGGACTCTGGGCCATGCCGGGTCTGGACTGGGTAGTGGTTACAAGTCACAACTGCTTAGGAGCCTGGAAACAGTATCGCTATTTATTTAGGTGACACATCTGCCCACCTAGGGGCTCTCATAAGAGGCTTAGTGGGTGAAAGCCCCGGAATGGTGCCTCTCCCCTTGCTAGCTCTATAGAAGTCCCTCTTCGTCATCACATCTTCTGGCCTCAGGGTGTCCAGGGAGCAGCTGCCTAGAGGCTGGAAACTTTTCAGAGTGCTCAGGGTCGGTGCCACTTCTTGAAGCAGCGGCATCACTTCTTGTTCTCTCTCTGGAGGAACAAGGAGTACCTTCGAAGCCGGCTCCAGTGGTCCTGCGGCGTCAGCTGCTTCTCCAGCTTCTGAAAGCTGAGGGGGGTCACATGGTCAGAGGTTGAGCCCCCCGCCCCCGCTGCCTTCTGAGGGCAGACCTTGATCACCCTGTGCTATTATTATTTTTTAATTTTTAAAGGTTTTTGCTATAGGGCACATGTGTTCAACAGAAAGACAGAGAGAGACAGACAGAAAGCGAGAAATCATGCCCCCCCCCCAGGGGAGATGGCCACACTGCAATCCCTTCTCCTCCGTTCTCCTCTTGGGATCTTGGGCACGCACGCACGCGCCTGGCGTGAGTTTAAGCCACCGGATCCAGGACTCGAACCGCGATCGACTACATGGGAGTCCAGCTAACTGCTGGTCCCACTCAGTGGCTATTTTTTGAATGAATGAGGAAATGGAGGCTCGGAGAGGATAAGAAACTCATCCTCACAGTAAGTGGGAGTCACTATTCAAACCCAGGTCTGTCGGGCCCAAGCCTGCACCTCTTAGTCACTGTATTTCACTCCTCCCCAAGAAAGTCTGAACAGAGAGAGCGGGCAATGGTTGTCATGGCAATTGGAGAGCCCCTAGAATCTCAGAGGATGGGAGGCCCCAGAAGGGAAGGGGCTGCTGAAGTCGCCCAGCTCTGTAGTGGCGGGTCTGGGGTGGGGATCCCAGGCTCACTTCACCCTGAACGTGTGGTCAGATCACAGCAGGAGTCATTCACAAGGATCTGCAAATCCCCACACATTTGTTGGGAGGTGGATTAGAAGGGAGGTCTGTTCTCCAGAGTACACGGAGTACGGTTCCTTATGCTTTGATAGCAGAGGGGGAAGCAAGCAAAGGGTCCAGAAGGATGGGATAGAGGGAAGGAGGAAGGGGGGGAGGCAAAATTCCCACACAGCTGTGCATCCGAATGATGGATACAGGCAAGAGATCTTAGATCAGGGGTTGGCAAACATGGTCTGTAAGGGCCAGAGAATAAATCATTTATTTAGACTTTATGGGTCACCTGGCTTCAGGCTCAACCATTCAACTCCTCTGCTGTAGCACACAAGCAGCCATAGATGATATGCAAACAAATGGGCATGACTGCAAATAAAACTTTATTTATAAAACTAGCAGTGGGCTGGATGTGGCCCACATGCCGTAATTGGACAACCCCTGTCTTTGTGATTATGTCTGATCATCCAGGCATGCTTCACAGAAGGAATTGAGAGGGCCAGCCATTGGTGGTGGCTTAGGTGTCTGGATCTTGCATGGCCAACTGTGTAGTTCAAGTCCTGGAACCAGTGGATTTGCTGTGTGTGTGTGTGTGCCTGAAATCCCAAGAAAAGAGTGGAGAAGGGATTGTGGCATGGCCATGCCCCCAGAGAGTGATTTCTCTCCTCTCTCTTGTCTTTCTCTGACAAGAGCACATGCCCTATAGGGAAAAAAAGTGGAATTGAGAAAGTACAAACTGCATCTTGACTGGAAGAAAATACCAACTGGAAGCCCTTCTTTGTCTGAATTAACAGTGAATCAGCTGGGATCATGGGACTGCCACGTGGTAGAACTCTTCACTGAGGGGGGATTTAAATCCCAAAAGGCTTCCCCTAAAATGGACTCTGCTGTCCTCAATCAAGCAACCCCAGATGCAGGGAGTGGGTACAGACACAGAGAGCTCTTTACCTCTTCTGGAGGAAACGCTCACATCTTTTCTCCAGTGGCAATGCCTCGGAGAAGGCCCTGTTATCCATCAGGTCTGTCTGAGGAGAGCTGTAATAATTCCACGTATTTTTCATGAGTGGACAGGCCTCAAAATTAAAATAGAAAACAGAACTTCGGTTGTTCTTGGTGTCGTCGGAGGGCTCAGTTTCTTCTAGATAGTCTCCTGTGATGAAACCAGAACACACCATGTTCTGCAGAATGATTGCATTCTTGTGGGCTCTGTGATCTGGGGGGTGCGTGGGGACCCCTCTCTGCTCCTTCAGACTGTGCCATCTAGGTTGAGCAGTGGGAAGCCCCCTGACCTGGAGGAGCAGAAGCACAGACAGCTGACCTTGCTGGCCTCTGATCAAAGCCCTTTGTGAGGACTGAGCTGTGGTCTTTGGGCAATGGGGAGGGGGATACACAGTGGGAAGGAGGGTGGGTGGGGTCACCCTGTGCTTGGTGAGAGGACATGGTCAACAGCCCACAGGTCTGGGGCAGCAGCCTTCATGGCCCCCATCAGTACCTTGGAACAGGAAGCAGGGATGGTGCAGAGACATAGCAAACATGGGCTTCCAGGGATCTGCCAGATGGGAGGGCCTGGAGGGGGCAAAGGCACAGATAGTTTCAGGCTTGGCCACATCCATCAGGCACACAGAGCCGTTCCTGGAAAAGGTCAGCACCTGGGAAACAGAGACAGTAAGTGGGCTTTTTTCAGGCCTCCACTTCTTACAGGAAGAAGAGTAAGGGGGTAACCTCAGGAAAGCGTCAGGAAAGCAGCTGGACACGAAACATGGAAACACTGGGGCCAGCCAGTGGCATGGAGATTAAGGCTGCTGGATCTCACATGGCTGACTGCAAGGTTTGAGTCCCGGACCCGACAGCTTAGAAAACACACACCAGGTAGGACCAGCAGATGGCGTAATGGTTACATCACTAGACTCCAATGTAGTTGACTACAGTTCAAGTCCCAGACCCTGATGCTTAAAACTTATGCCAGACATTTGTGCATGTGTGCCCAAAATCCCAAGTGGAGAATGGAAGAGAAGTGATTGCAGCATGGCCATCCCTCTTGGGGGGGTGACTTCTCACTTTCTATCCCTCTGTCTCTCTCTCTGTCTCTCTGGTGAGTGCATGTGCCCTATAGCAAAAATCTCTCTCTCAACAAAAATTTGAAAAGAAAAAAAAAAAAATCATTATTTAAAAAAAAATAAAAAGAAAACAGAGGCAGAGAGGATTTATCTGTCTCCACCCAGGGCCATCAGGGAACTGTAGACTCCTTCGGCTGCCTTGGCAATGGCCCTCCTGAGCCATCTGCCTGCCCCTGGGCTGTTCTGCCCTGCTCCATTCTAGCCTCTCTTTCAGGTTCTTCCTGGTGTCTCAACTGAGAGCTTAGTCCCCACCTGATGGGCTCCTCACCCCGGCTCCTGAACCCTGGGAGGCCAGACTCAACAGTGGCCCGAGGCTGAGCTGGGGCCTCTCTAGTGAACACACCAAACCCAGCCTTTGTGACCCCTTATCCTGCAGTTGTCATACGCAGTCCCCTCACACCCTCACACCGGAGGGCCTCTGGTCACCCTGTCCGCTTCCTGCTCCTACACGTGTCTCCTCCAGGGGCCTGGCCTCTCTTCTTCATGCTCCCCCAATCTGCCACCCTGAGCTTGCAGGGCCTCTGCCTGGAGTTCCACGGGGTTCCTCCCATTCACCTCGTGAGCTCACCTCCCTGCCCTGTAAGAGCTGGCAGGGGGATCTCTTCCCTACTTACCTCATCTCTGAGGATGAGAACCTGCTGGGACTCATGGCCTCTAACCCTGCTCACTCAGTCTAGTCTGAGTGAACCCAGAACCTACATTTCTTTTGTTTTTTAAGGAACTTTTAAAAAAATTATTTATTTTATTTTGTTTATTATTATTATTATGACTTTAGTTTGTGATAGGGCATGTGTAGCTTACCAGAGAGGAATAAAGAAAGAAAGAGATTGGGAAAGTAAGAAATCAAGCCACTGGGTCTGGGAGTTGAACTGTGGTTGGTGATGTGGAAGTCCAGTGCCTTAACCGTCATGCTACCTGCTGGCCCTGGAACTTTCTCTTCTATATCCATAAACCACAAAGCTAGTCCAGTGTCTAGCACATGGTAGGCCTTCAACAAATGTATACACACACACACACACACATATACATACATACATACATAGATGTATTTATATATATATATAAATAAATAAATAAAATTGGCTATGGGACACTTGCACTCACTTGACAGAGAGAGAGAAAGTGGAAAAGACCTGCCATGGGGATGGCCGCACTACAATCCCTTCTCCATTCTCCTCTTGGGATTTTGAGTATGCACACATGCTTGGTGTATTTTTTAGGTGACGAGTTACAGGATTTGAACTGTGCAGTCAGCCATGTGGGATCCAGCTGCCCTAGTCTCCATGGCACCGTTGCCCCTCAGTAATTACTATTTTGGGAACCAGTAGTTGGTGTAATGGCTGTATCACTGGACTCCCATGTAGTCGACCGCCGTTCCAGTCCCGGACCCGGTGACTTAAACTCACACTGGGCATGTGTGCGTACGTGCCCAAGATCCCGAGAGGAGAATGGAGGAGAAGGGATTGCAGTGTGGTCATCCTCCCTGGGGGATGATTTCTCGTTTTCTGCTCTATCTCTCTCTGTCTTTCTGGCGAGTGCACACATCCTGTAGCAAAAACCTCTCCCCCTCAAAAAATTATTATGTTGAAGAAAAGGTGAGCACTTTCACAGAAGAACAGTGAGAGACATGGAGAACCTACCATGCCAGGAAGGGCTGGGACTGGGGCCACTGTACAGATGGCTTCATCCAGGTGCTTGATGGGCCTGTAGGAAACAAGACACACAGATATTCTCTTATTTTAAGACTTGTAAGATTTGGGGATCAACAGATGCAGTAATGGTTATGTCGCTGGATTCCCACATAGTCGACCGCAGTTCGAGTCTTGGACCCAGTGGCTTAAAACTTACTCTGGGCATGTGTGCGTGTGTGCCCAAAATCCTGAGAGGAGAACGGAGGAGAAAGGATTGCAGCATGACCATCCCCACTGGGGAGTGATTTCTCAGTTTCTGTCTGTCTGTCTCTCTCTCTCCAGCAAACACATGTGCTGTAGAGCAAAAATCTCTTTACTTTAAAAAAGAAAGAGTTGTAAGGGTTTTTATTTTTATTTATTTTTAAAAAATTTAAGAGAGGTTTTTGCTATAGGCCACATGTGCTTGTCAGAGAGACAGAGACAGAAAGTGAGAAATCCCCCCCTTAGAGGCGATGTCCATGCCACAATCCTTTTTCCTCCATTCTCCTCTCAGGATCTTCAGCACACACACATAGGCACCCAGCATGCGTTTTAAGCTTCCAGGTCCAGGACTCAAACCATGGTCAAGTACATGGGAGTCCAGCAATATAACCATTATGCTATGTACTGGTCCTGAGTTGTAAGATTTTGATAAAGTGACAGGTCTTTCAGGCAGGTTATCTTGGGGTAATTCTTGAGTGTAAGCATTAGGAGGTGTATGAGGAGGCTGTTCATAGTAGCGAGGAACTAGGAACAACCAGGATATCTATTAGGAGGAGGTTGCTGAGGTATTAGGGTATATTGCACAATGAAATTCAATAGCAATGAAAAGTTCTGGAGCTACAGGCATCAGCCGTGTATGACTCCCACGAGCAATGCTGCAAAGCTAGTTACAGAATACATAGCATTAAAACACAAACTGGAGAAGACACAGGATATGGTTCCATTGATAAGGTTCTGAATATGCATGAATTAACAATATTTTGTTCAGAAATCCAGGTACATATCTGTGTTAATTCCTAAAGGAAAAAAGCAGGGCCAGCCAGTGGTGTGGTGGTTAAGGCCGCTGGATTCCACACATGGCTGACTATGAGGTTCGAGTCCTGGACCAGATAGCTTGGAAAAAAAAAAAAACACCAGGTGCATGTGTATGCAGGCCCCAAATCCTGAGAGGAGAATGTAGGAGAGAAATTGTGGCATGGCCATTCCCCCTGGGGAATGATTCCTCACTTTTTCTTTCTGTCTCTCCATTGAGTCTATCCTCTCTATAGCAAAATCTAAAAAAAATTGTATATATGTTGTTATCTGTCTGACAGGTCATTTATCCCAGTCCGCTCTCAAGCCACCAACCTCTCAACAAGCACACTGATGGTGGGTCCTTGGGTCCCCTGGGCTGATACCAGAAGGAGGGAAGCATCTGTACACAGCACCACACACTTCATTCGGGACGTTACTGGGTCCTCTGGAAACGTGTTCTGTCCTTCGTGGACCAAGAAGTATTTTAGGAAATGAATGCTTTGGCAGAAACACCCCTCGGGAAGAGCAACGACCCCAAGAGGGAATCCTGGAGGAAGAAATTACACAAATAGGTCAGAAACACGGGGTGGGAGGGGGCAAGCATGATGTAGCATCTGTGGCCAGCAAGTATGTGGGGGATTTGCAGGGTGTGAGGTTGAAGAGCAAGCAATGCATGGCCTCTTAGGGTGGAGCTAGTAAGCCTAGTGCCCAGTGGGGGAAAAGGGCCGCCTTCAGGGGGACCCTCTGGACATAGAGTGGGGCAGGGGCAGATGGAACCTAACCCACAGAGGGAGGCAGAGTCAGCACGGATTGGAAGGAAGCTGTAACCCAGCAGATGGACAGATAGAAATGAGGTGTGTGTGTGTGTGTTCGGTCAAACAAGAACTTATCAATAACCAGAAAAATGAAACAAGCCATTATTTAAAGGCTTGTGAAATGATAACCATTTTTCTCATCTAATAATGCGGTTGGTGCAGTGAGCACAATTCAGGAGGGCCTGTAGTGATGCTTGTCTTAGCACTATGCGGGGGAGCGTCATCCCATTGGAAATAACCACTAGACACCTCAGATGAGGGAAGCCCAAGTGAGGGAGGCACTGTCCCAGCTTGACAGACGACTTCCTGAGAACAGCCAGCTCCCCATCTGATCAGGAGCTCCCCGACAAACAGGGTACTGTCTCTGGTTCTTGCCCGCCAGGAGGGCTACCCCTACTCCCTAGGGAGATGCATGTCCATTTGTAAAATGGCAAACCACTGTCTCATGCATAGCTTCAAAGATGTTTGGTGAGGGGGAGACACTTCCTGAGAGGATGGCCAATTTAGGGAAAGCAGATGCCATTGCTTTCTTTACCTGCAAAGCTGGCCCCAGGACCTGGGACTCCACCAGGGCACAGCCCACTGAGAATAGTTTCTGGTCTCACTTTGCCCACGTTCTAGGTCCCTGAGCTCCAGTACCAGCAGAGCTCCTGCTGACTCGGGTGGAGGTGGGGGAGTGGGGAGAGCAGGGCCAGGCCGCCATGGTCTCCCGACTGTGCTGGAGCGTGAGAGTGAAGGCAGTGGCCGTACCTCTGCCACCTGGTGCAGGGCCGGAACAGAGCAAGCACTCACTACATATGTGAGCAGTGGGAGCGGCTAGCACACACTGTATGATAAATGTTGGCTGAATGGATGTGTGTGGGGAAAGCAGGACCAGCTCCCCAGGGTGGCTTGAAGGACACAGCAGTAACAGAAGGCCTCGAGCCTGCAGGCATGCCAAAGCTCCTGAAGCCTCATCTCCCAGGGACCCACCCAGGTGCTAGGTAGAGAGGCAGGGCGCTCACCTTCGGCCAGGTCCCACAGCGTGAGCACACCGTCCTCGCAGGCCAGCACCAGGTAGGAGGAGGAGGAGCAGAGCTGGGAGACTGTAATGGGTGCAGCACAGGGCCACACACCCTCAGGGTCTAGTGGGGAGGACAGCACTCACAGGCTCCTGCCAGACTGTGCAGCTGCCTATCCCTCCCCCCTGG